CTGTATTTATTTCATTGACCAAGTTCAAAAGATAATTTCTCGAACTTTATGACATACCCAAGCTATCAGATTTCATATCGGATGGTTGTAAATAATTGTGACATCTCTGTACCAATGGTAAATGGTCTCATTGTATACAATCCCATTATCAAATACGTGAGGAGTGATTTCATGCAACAGTTCTATAATAATGTAATGAAAGAATATTAAAAAACCATTATTAGGGTCACTCATTTAACTTCAATTATAGATGTACACTCTTTTTGTTACCATAAACCTTTACAAAATAAAATAAAATTGAAAAAACATGCTAGAAAGTGTTTTTTAGCCCAATTAATAGATGCCATCTTTCTTAATGAGATGTTTAGGTCGTACAAGGATTTTTTCATTTCAAAAAATTTTAGATAGAATTATTATCATTAGATTAACAATATCAAAAAATAAAAAACTGACTTTGTATTCGTAATGGTCTAGATTCATTGTTAGAGATGACTCATTTTGATCATATCTAAAGGGTGAATCAAAATTTATTTTATTATTTTATAATAATTGGGATGAAGAGAGTGTGAGCAAAATTTGGGATCAACAAATGGCAAAACACATGGTTTTCTAGAAGTGTGGTTTCATTATTGTAACACGTAGCATGAGATCAATATATATAAGAAAAAGTTCATACAAGGTTGACACTTTAAAATGTAGAATAAAGGTGGACCTAAAATCCTTTGAAAAAGGTTGTTTTGATGTTGGGAAAACATCTAATTGATCTTCTCGACATTGATATCTATAGATTTTAAGTTCTAAAAATAATACATCTTGCTATTTATTTATTTTATTTTTTAAAAAGAGAGATTTTAAGTTCTAAAAATAGTACATCTTGCTACATATTATATGGACCATCCATTTTCAAGATTTTTACTTGTTTGTATATCTATTTGATATGAACTATTTTTGGAGTTTAAAATGTTATATTTAAAGCTAAATAGATTCTCGCATTATCCTAAG